AGTATTGGACCGGGCACTGTCCCGAATGGTCCCGAATGATACCGCACTTGTGTCCCTTTGAACTTCAGTCGTATAATAAATCTCTTATTAACCAAGCTTGCTCGGGACCGTACTGGAAGAATATCGGCCCTCGGTCTTTTTTGTACGGACCTCGCTGCGCTCGGTCCGTACTGTCAAGACCTCGGGCCGATATTCTCCCAGTACGGCCCTCGCGCTTGGTTAATAAGATATATGTATATATTGTGAGATTTAACGCCATTATCCTGGTCGGTATGATTATATTATTAAATATTAACAATTTTTGAATAAAAATAAATAAAACAAAATAATAAAGTAAATAAATATATATATATTTATACATAAATATGTTCTTATTGTATGATTTTACGCCTTTAGTTAACGGCGTAAAATTTACCATTAAACTACCTGTTGAAGGAAATTAAACCGATAGTTCCTTCAGGCGGTGTTATATTTATTAGGAGATCTTACGCCGCTAACTAAATGCGTAATTTCTTTCAGTCCGTACTATGTCTATTGTACGATTTTACGCCGTTAACTAACGGCGTTATTTCTTTTACTAAGTATTTGTAAGATTTTACGCCGTTAAGAGGGGGGCATTGGGGTTTGCGGTTTGGCTATTTTTTAGATCGGTTTTTGAGTTTGTTCGCCAAAAAACGTCGGTTTTTCGATTTTGTTGTTCATTACGGTCTGCGGATTTTCCGTTTTCAGCATATGGATTTCGATTTTCAGCAAGACCTACAACGTCTTGAGAGATTTGCTAGCCCCAGCAAAGCCATCTAGCGTAAAGCTGACAGATTTGGTGGCAACGTTACGAGATCACTATTTTCGTCCAATATTCAAGCAATTTTTTAAGGCGGAGGGGAGCGAATCGATTAAGCAAAGTTTAGCGCGATTTCTATTCAGTTACCGAACGACACCAAATAGTACTACAGACCAAACACCAGCCGACCTATTCCTAAATCGTCGATTAAGAACGAGATTAGATTTAATGCGTCTTGACCTCGGTCGGAAAATAGTTGACAGGCTAACGGATCAGAAAGCGAGACACGATAAAATTGGTAAAGGAAGAGAATTCACTCTTGGCGAAGAAGTTCTAGAGCAAAACTTCCGTGGTCAGCCAAAGTGGCTTGATGGCACCGTTACGGAGCAGACCGGTCCCTTCTCCTATAAAGTTCTGGTCGTAGAACAACTCTGGAAACGCCATGTTGACCAGATGCATCAAAAGCAGGCAGTAGTAGTGTTCATGGATTTTACCACTCACTTGGCGAATTAACAAGAGGTACGTACCACGACTGTATACTTTTCTTCTTTTATTCTCTTCTCCTCTATTGTTGCTACTACCTTCTACTACCACAGCTACCTCCCTTCTAACTTCAGCAAGGAGTGCCCTCGCATTTAATGTAAAAATCACAGACATGTTTGGGTTAGCTGACCGTGGAAATTTCCAAAACAGGATATTCAGTGTGGGTAAAACTCAAGGTCAGTTTTACCAACCCAAACATAATCACCTATGAAACTAATCATCCTCAACCACAACAAGTGATTAAAATGTCTAGCACGGAAAGAACTGAGCCAACTGATCATTTATTTTTAGTGTGGCACACTAAAAATAAATGATCAAAACTATAGATCTACCAAAATAACAACGTAAA